AGGACATACAGACATTTCAAAAGCTTAATGGAGAAACTCAGTAAATGTACGTATCGAAAAATAAATTAATTAAATTAAACTGTCATGTAAAGATATCACTTAATTTTGCAGAGCGGAAGGTGCTTTTAATGGGAATGGAATGGATCAGTGAGCATTTCAAAACCCAAAGCTATAATTTAAATTCAGGCTCTCCTCTAGTGTGCAAGTCACAAGACATATTTATTATAGCCTTGGATTGTCAATTGTAATCGGTTTAGCAGAGACAAAGCCGTGTTGTTTTGCTTCCTTGCCCTCCTAGCTGGTTCAATATATTTTGATGTCAGACTATTGACAAGCAAACCAGAGGCTGAACTATAAAATGATCTCTGCTTGTGATGAACTGGCAAAAATGCAGTCCAAGGTAAATGTAACACTGAATCCTGTGTATTTATTTATCAAGCAGCTAGGGAAAAATGGTGATGCGAGGCAATTAAACTTCTTTAAATAAACCAGTTGAATATATTTACTGCTGCTTTTGAGGCCTGCGGTGTGGCAACACAGACACAAGTAGATAAAAACAAGTAAAAGCACCATGAAAATGAATAGCATCATGGATAAGCTGCTGCTCCGAGATTTCCAGGTGGCAGTAACAATTAAAGCTGTTGCTCCTGACACTCAGGGCGAGAGCCACAGCCTGAGACCCAGGTCCCCAGCAAGCAGCCACCAACACTTCTTCCAGCCTGCGTAGCCCACCAGTTCTTGCTTCCTGGGGTGCCTCTGGCATGGTTTGCTGCGGGATTTTATTCGGTGGCAATGCTTCCACACCAAGCCTATGCTCACACAGCCACGAGCAACTGTCTCCTTGCTGAGTAACCATTCCAAGAAGGGTTCAGTTCTTCATCCGACATTCTTTCTGTGTTCTCCAATTCTCTTGGTAAGTACATTTTCTGGAGTGCTGAAACTGGTCAACTCATCGGGTTGTAGCTGCTGTGGCTGCTTCCTGCCTTCATCCAGGCCCTGTGCTGCACTGAGCCATGGAGATGTTGCTTTGAGCCTGAACCTGGAGCCTCCTGCCAGCATCTCCGTCATTTCTTGGGGAGCACCCAGGTGTGCGAA